CCCGGTAACCGGTTTTTGATGTAAATTAAAGGTTTCTGTTTTTATTGTATGTTTATCTGTGTTCACATATTCAAACTGTCAGTCTTGTTGTTACCAAAATAAAAATCAATCAATCAATCAATCAATCAATGAGTGGGGAAAAAACTGCGATATGTCAATTTTGCCTTGTCCCTCGAAGTTTCTCGTTGTAATAGTATAATTGCGGTTTCTCGATTTCTCTCCCACCTCTTGATTTATGTCATAATTTAATTTTTTGTCTTTATATGTACGTTAAACATTTTTTTTGTTCAAAATCGATAATGTGGATAATTCTTTTATGACATACGAACCTAGCGCGGATACTATAAAGGTACAAGAGATCGAAACTACACTCCGATCGGACACTTCGCCAGTTCATTAGCACATAACTTTGATTTAGGTAGAACTTCAGTATTCACTGTTGTATAATCCAAATCATAACAAGCAAACGCAAACTGAACGTCTACAGCTAAGTTGCTCTTAAACACCAAATCGCATCACGGAAAATGTAGGAGGCCTGAATTTCGACCCTTGAATTGTCCCGGACTTTCGCCGCGGTCCGAAATTCCGATGATTTTAATGCACTTACACGTATTAGCATCACAAAATTTTCTTTTACACATTCAATGCCTTCTTTTGCAGCATAAATCTAATGTATGAGAACATTTTAATAGATTAAAATGACCTGAGGAGGTTCGAAATTTCTTCCTGGATAATGGCTTCTTTCGATATTAGGAAAATTTAACATGATTAAAACTACTTTAGAAAAGAGGAATATCCGTAATAACTAACTATTGATCTGGGACAATGACTAGTTTGACCAAATGAAATGTTTTTCGCAAACAAGATGTAAATGCCTATATAAGAAATCTGAACACCAGTATTCATTGCGATAGACAATAAAAGTGCATCACGTTCCTACCACCATTTTCTTATAATCACACACTAGTGTGATTATAAAGTTTATGTTCGAAACAATAGTTCTAAAATTTTTTTTCTGGTTCAATTGTACTTACAGCTTTCAATTCATCAATCAAAATAGAATGAGTTGGTTTGGTCATTGATGAATCGTTTGTTTTGGCCGTTGTCGCCTCATCTTTAAGTATTGAAGTTGACATAGAATTATTCGAGTTATCTGATGAACTTATCGGCGACTGCGATCGATCATATATAAATGAGACTATTTAAACTTAGAAAATATGTACGTTGTTCATGAATATGCTTATTTGCATCAAGCTTAAAAAAAGCAAGAAAATGTTATAAATCTGGCTATTTAGTAGAATCGAAAATTGACACCAGTCTTCAATATTTACATCATAAACGAAACAGTAGTCAGGCTAACTTATCCATTAAATAATATCTCTTCACGTATTCGTTAAAGAAAATAGATTAATGTAATTCGATTGAGAAAATGTTGAAAGAAATGATTTATTTTTATTCTTTTATTTACCTCACTATTACCTGAACCATTGACTAACCACATTTTTGCTTGTTTTAAATTTACATTCATCATTTTCGTATTCCAATTCACTTTTGGTCGTCTTATAAGTCCATCTTGATATGAAATCAAATTTAATTCGTGATACGAAATAAATTCAAATTTCTCACAATCAATTTGTCCACCCGTTTGACGTGCATACGATGTCAAATATTTAAAACGAAAATGTGGAAATATAAGTTTTAATTCAATAGCTTCATAATGTCGACTTAATAATGGTTTATGTGGAATATATTGTAGATGAAATAGTTTACCACGACAAGTTGGACGAGTAATAGACATCATTATATTCTAAAGAATAAAACAAAAGAGAACTAAAAAATAGTTTTAAGATGAGTAAATAACAGGTGTATTAAAAACTTACTTTGACTCTTGCGCAAAATCTTAATCAACTAGCGTAAAGACAACATGTTGTAGGATTTTCTACTGTTGCTGGAGTATCTTTACATTCAAATTTAAACTAGGGAATTAAATGTAATGAATGAAATTGTGCGTATGAATCATGTGTACCATTCTAAATATAGAAAATAATGAAACAAATATTATCATTAGTATTTATCATCAAGTTAAAAAAGAAAATATGCAATAATTTGATATGAATAAATTCAATCAAGCTACTATCTTTCGTTTATCAACTCATAATCCTGTATAATACGATCATTCCTGTCTGATAACTGTCTGCAATTAAAAGAATGACTTTTGGGTTTTCTAATCAAATAGATAACTGTGTGTGTGTGTGATCAGAGTCTTAAAATATTTAACATCAATGCATGTTATCAGCCTGACTTATCATTAAAAAAACATCATTTCACACATAATTTTTTCTCCAATAGATAAGATTAATTCTACTACATCTCATAATTCAAAACAAAATGGAAAATAGAAATGAAAATGACATATTATATACTTCAATTTTTTCTTTTGGTATTGAATCAACATTATATAATCGAACAGCGTGATGATCATTTGAATTACCTGAACATAATCAATTAATATTAACACTAAAAGAAAGGACAAAATAATTTTTATTAATAATGAAAATGATTGATCTCCCATTTTCAAACAAGCAGGAAGTCAAATCAGACAATTTTAGTTATTGTATAATCACATTTTTTTTAAGGAAAATAGCTAAAAGTCAAATTGAAATAGTTTAAACAATAGTATTTTACATATGTTTTATGATAAAATATAGCCAATTTCTTCAAACAATTTTCTATAGCAGCAGAGGAACTGTTGATAAAACCGTTTAAACTAATTGATTTTTTCTTCAAACTCACTCTTCATGTCTTTTAGGGGTACTGATGGTAAAGCTGAACGAAAAAATTCTGACTACATGATATATATAATCATAATCATTGCAAATGGTCATTTTAACACCAAATAGTTCATACCTATTATGAAGGCCTTCATTTGATTTGCTTCATGACCAATTTAATAGTGTACCTTGATATTTTGTTCCAACGACGCCCGCTAACATTGACAACTTGGCTGAGGCTATTTTCACCTTGGTACTAGCAGTTGAACGCGATTCATCTTTAATACTTAAAAGAGAACAAAACTATATACGCCCACTCTCCCTCGCCCCTCCATAACCTTCTATTTTGGGAGAGGGTTTCAGTCAATAGAGACAACAGAAAATGACATACCCGTCGTATGCTTTTAACAGAAGAACGTTTTCGGCCACTTTTGATGAATTTCCAATATCGTAAACGCCAAAACCGTCAAAAATAACGTCCGGTTCGTCATTGATAAGAAATAAACTTTGACTAGCCAGATGTTTACGAAGGCCGTGACCGGTTAAGGTTGTAACAACGGACATTTCGTCAGTAATGTCAGCACCTAATTGGACAGGTTTACAATATTCTTCGGGAAATAACTTTTCGATTTTTGTAGCAGCATCTTTAATTTTGTTAACAATGTTCGACTTGCCAGCACCTTAATAAGAAACAGGTAAAAGAAAATTAAAACAAGAAAAGAAGCTTACCAGATGGTCCAACAATCATTAGATACAAATTTAATGGATGAATCTGATTCGATAAATAATGACGGTAAAAGCTTCCTCTTGCAAAATGACGAAGCAATGCTAACGACGCAAAAAGCAAATGTTTTTGTTCTAAACCAGAAAATTCTTTGTATTGTAAGAATATCTGTTGTTGTTTGTCAGTTAGTATTTGCGACATGTCAGCATCGATTTCACTGGCTAAATAAATATTCTGCTTTATCTGTTCACCATATTCTTTTATTTAAGCAGCCATCCATAAAACGGCGAAAAAGTCAAGGACTGCCCTGAAAATTTCAAGAGTCTTCCAGTATAATTCATGTCACGATGTTCATGCTGAATTGATTGAAAAATATGTGCTGCCTACAATCAGACTGTCGGACAGTGATATACTAAACACCGCGTGAAGGATCGCTCACCCCAAGAGAAATTCCGATTTCTCAAATTCGCGGTGCTAAATAATATCTTGATTTAACGTTGGAAGAAAACATGCGCAACAAGCATTTTTATGGTTCCCTTTATTGTTTTCGTATTCGGGATGAGTATAGCTTCAAAAGAAAAGTCGAACCGGAAAGCTCAGCAAGAAAACTACGAAAATATCGGATAAAAAGGAATTTCAAGGATTTCAAGGAATTTCCGAGGATTTGGCTCACCTATTACCAGAATCCTGGGCACGTCGTTGCTGCCGGGTTACCTGTCTCAGACCTTACCTCTTCTCCCACGTGCAGCGATCAGTCACCAGTATTCATATTCATTTGTTTCTCCATTCAGGAGAAAATCAACACCTAAAAGCAAATTTTGCGAAATATCTTGGACACTATGCGGCTCCTAATATCAAGTAAACATCTTCTACGCATAGTTCATCTTCGACACCAGTAATGTTTATCTCATTACGCTACAATATTCAACACACAGCATCTACTGCATAATTCAGATATCAATCTAATATTCTTTCTCAATCAAAAACAAAAATTCAAGACTATAACAGCTTTTTTCACAAACGTACACAAGCTTTCAGTTCTTCGCTACTGCTCATTAACTCACGCATTTGATCGAGCAAGAGCATCGCAAGTGATTTGACTACTCTGAAAATGGATAGTTTTCGAAATACATAGCTTTTGAGAAGCGCATCATTACAAGTTATCAGGTAATCAAACACCAGGTCTCAAGTATACTCATTAGAAGACATCTGCAGTTTCCAGATTTCATGCACTTTTACAAAATTCTGTATCGAAGTCAAGCAAAAGCGCTTGAAATGCTTAGTCACTTACTATCACTGTTCACCACACAACTCTATTGCAATATCGTGTACTAAATGAGCCTAGAGATCAATTGAAAACTGTTGCGTGAGAAAGTACATCAATCATCGACCTGTTCATGTAACACGCTTTTTCCATCGAAAATAAGCAAATGAGACTTCTTACTTGCATTAAAAACTATGCTAAAGAATGGTTACTAATACGTACATGTAGAAGAGATAGGAAGTCCCACAGGTGCGTAACGCAAAGTAAGTAACTAAGTAGGCGTTGTCTATTTGCTCCTGTGACATGGTCTTTTCTGTCGAGTATACGTCGATGAGACTTTCCTCAATCTCCAGTTAGGAACAATTCGAATTGAACGCTGGCTACTGTTTTGTTTTCCCACACATACTTTCTCAATTCTTCCCTTCTAAAGCTCATTAGCTATGCTGAACAATGCTGATTAATCCATGCATGCCAGTTAATAAAGATAGCAAGTGTCCTCGGTGCACTCGATCGTAAAGAGCACGTTATAAGAACAACTGGATGAAGGCAGAAGGAGTATCCCACAGCTTTATCTCTAGTACAAGTATGCATTAATCGCCATTCATTAGCATACTTAATGAGCTTCAGCTAGAAATTGAAAGCGTTTGTGCAGTAAATTAAATCACTAGTTAGCTCTTCATCTAATTGTTCTTTCAAGATGTTCTTTTTCACCAAGTACACGTTAATGAGACTACCTATTTTCATTACAGGCATGTATTAATCATCATTCTTCAGCATAGTTAATGAGCGTTACGAAAGAATTGAAGAGATGTATGTGGGAAGTAAGGTACTAGCAAGTACTCGTCGAATTGATGCTGTAACATGCTCGTCAATCACTACCTTTCCCTATATGCAATGATAGACAGTATGTAATTGTATCTAAGCATGCAACCGTTAGATTGAAATAGTGTGAGGGTTGTGAGTGCGTTCTTCACATAATACTATTTCGCATTATAGCTCTGCCTTTTATCTGATCAAAAAGGATCAGGAACAGCCAGAAGTCCAATAGTCTAAAAGGAGTCTGACAATCCCATAGTCAAACTATTAGACTTTTAGCCGATTCGCGCATCCAGAAAAAGGAGAAAAATTGTTTTCTTCCTCATAACGAGTTTATCTGTAGAGCATTGTGTTTATGATTGGTTTGGTTAAACTTTTAGAAAATAAACTTAATTGTGTGCCATTCAGTCATTCATTGGTTAGTAATTCTTTTCTCACGTCACTCAATCAAACACAAAAAAGACCGTTCTAACCTTTATCAGTGATCATATCACTCAAGTGATATTATAAAAAGCGAAAAAAAAGCAATTACATAGTTTTTATCAGCCCTTATTTTAGTTGAGTTGCAACTCATGTGCTTTTTTTTATCGATGTTACATACTAGCAACAACAGACATTATGGAGAATTTGCGTTTGCCGCAAACTCGGAATTCCCGTATGGCTGTGTTTATTTAAAAACGAATTTAGTGCGCTTTGGTATAATCATTGTATTCATACATCCTTAGCTCTCTGATTTCTGTTGCTGTTCTGCCGGACACAGAGCACCTATACCAGAGCCACATAAGATGTTTGGATTCTAGGATACAAAGATTCTAGGATTCAACGATTCAAGGATTCTAGGATTCAAGGATTCTAGGATTCTAGGATTCAAGGATTCTAGGATTCTAGGATTCAAGATTAAAAAGTACACTCTTTTTTTATTGCTAGGATTCAAGGATTCTAGGATTGTAGGATTCTAGGATTCAAGATTAAAAAGTACACTCTTTTTTTATTGCTAGGATTCAAGGATTCTAGGATTCTAGGATTCTAGGATTCAAGGATTCTAGGATTCTAGGATTCAAGATTAAAAAGTACACTCTTTTTTCATTGCTAGGATTCAAGGATTCTAGGATTCTAGGATTCAAGGATTCAAGGATTCTAGGATTCTAGGATTCTAGGATTCAAGGATTCTAGGATTCACACTCTTTTTTTATTGCTAGGATTCTAGGATGGAGAAGTACATTTGTTTGAGTCCACGATTGCAGGATTGTGGAATTTCCTCTATTAGCAGCAGTGTTTCATGTATTCAGTGCATTGTTTTTCTGTGATAGATGCATAGGTGAGATATGAGGTTTATTGCATAATGAAAGTAGTACAAGAATGAGAACAATCAATCACGTTATTAGAACATGATGAAACGGTAGATGTAAGCGTTAAAGAAATGTATTTTAATAGTTTTTCTGTTATATGGAGCATAGTCTAAGTTTCGATCAATTATAGTATACATCAATGTTGTTGTTGATATTGATGCGGAATAACTTGTTGACCAATGCCTGGCGTACTTGGAAGCAAACCGACTGTTTTACAGTTCTTTAGATGGAACAAAATTAAGTAAAACATTACTGATTTTGGATAATGGTAAGAACGGAAAGCGTGTTTAAAATTAGTTAAATAGCTAAACATACGTTCACAAATCTGGGAATCGATGTTTTCAAAGGCACCGTTATGACAGGCATTATCCGCATTCATGATTGTCTTACACATTTTTCTTGTGTGACCTGGCTGATGAAACCTGTCGATGGCCAATGCCATACTTTTAAAAAAACGGGTGTTTTCTGTGTCTTGTAAATATTGTGTTCCGAACCAATTATCAATAAATAATCGCAAAGTGCAGGCACAATCATACATCATTGCATTAGGTAATTTCCCATTATTACGTATTCTAATCAAATGCCGCAATATTCTTCGCATCCCTTCACTTCTGGGTGACTCATCAAAGCCAATTATAACGCCACAATTCAGAAAACTCGCCAAAAATCCATAGCTTAAATGACACGAATAATTTGCAAACAGCTACTAAAAATAAGAATTATATTCAAAGTTTGGACAATCTACCTTGTCATTTTAGACTGTTCTTTCATTTCGTCACGATAAACA